AGAATGGATCTTGTAATTACTCGGGAGAAAATATTGAAAATATTAAATATTTTTTCGAATATTTTTTCGACGGCTAAAACACTTGGATGTTTGCATAAAATATTTTTGAAAAATTTGTGCTCCTTTCTTTTATGGCAATTTGGACTATTCAATTCTCTCCGTGTACGTAACAAAGCAAGAGAAAATCCAAGATCGTTCTCAAGAAAAGAACAATCCCAAGGAACTAGCAACGAAAGAAGAGAAGCTCCTTTAATTAGTACCTTAGCTTTCGGCGATGTAGCTCGTTCCCTGGAAACCAGACGGAAAATCTCGAGCAATGAGGGCGGCCGCTGGAGGATGAGGGGGTGGTGAGGGGGAGCCTCATTCTGAGGAGTATATAGCAGCCGTAGCCCCGAATTTCGTTAGCTCTCAGAGTGAATTGTAGGGGGATTCTCGGAGTGTGTGCATGTTGCGGGGTGATTTCACTACCCAATTACTCGAAACATTGCGGAATGGGAAGGGGTTACGCGGTATATCGGACCGTAATTTCTCTCTCCGGGCGAATGATCCTAGGTCCGGTGTAACGACGACTGGAGGACCTATAAATGTGATATGACTTTAGCGAGTGGGAAAAAGCCGGGTTGTTGTAGTACGGTTGAGGGAAGAGGGTGGGGACGAGCGCCAGGGGACGTTTCAACGCAACGAGCGCCTTATCTATGCTACACCTTGCAGAATGGACCTATCTGGTTGTCCCTCGGACGTTGGGGGCCAGTGGCTAAATAAACCAACGCTCACGACGTTTCCCCGGTTGTTTTCCCTCTTGGGGAGGGGTCCCGACACCGTCAGAGGGTAAGATACGTGCTCGGATGTAATTACACTGGGATTGCACACCTGCCAGCTTTGTTATCCTTATGAGCGTTCATGTTTTATGGCACGTGTATGAGACTGAGCTCGAATGCCCCTGATTTGTTCATCCCAGATCGAATATTTTTGACAAGCAGTTGTTGGAATGATAAAAATGTCGTCCTTTAGAAAAGCACTCCACTTAGGTGAAAACCCGGGGCATATGTTACCCAGAAATAATCCGAAAAAAAAAACCCCGTCAAAAAGCGATTTATTACAGTTTTAAGGTGTCATGGACCTGAAAATGTGAAATCACATTTTTAGTCCTGCATTTTATAAATGTAGTAGAGAGCAATAAAGACGCACGATGGATTAGTCGTGGGCCTCGAAATTCCACCTCGTCTCCGAGATCTATTCCTGGGTGATTTGAAGTCGGGCACGCGCGTCCAATGAATCAATCGTCTTTCCATCCACTCCATTTTCCTCGTCATCTTCATGGCAATTTTCCCCATCACGATTTCAACTCATGAGTTATATTCTTGTGTGCATTATATTGTCAATCTCAAGAGTGATATCTTTCTGTTCTGCTTGGTTGTGGGTAGTGCGGGCTTTGGTAGGAGAGGCACTTTTTTTTTTCCCCCGAGACACCACGTACACGTCATAAATAGTGTCCTCTTGCGTCCCTACTCTTCGAAAAACCACATACACAGAGGGAATTCCACGTCCCTCGTCTTCCTCGTATCGTCGGCATTTTCCAATATTCCAAACTGCACTGATTCCATCTGCGTCTCCTCAAACCCTCTAGATTCCCCTTCGCCGATGTCTGCCAGCCTCCGATTACTTTTTACGTGTCTTCGTATTGATCCTGGTATTTTTCAAATATTTATCTAAATATTTGAACAAATCCCTCCAGGGCAAACTGAAGTGATACCCTGTAGTTTTCAGTCAATAGTCACAATTTCTAGTGAGGCTCACTGATATATATATTTTTTTTCAATCATATATTACTCCCACCAAATTTTCAAAAAATAAAAATGTCAGGACCCGCTGTCAAAATAATTCCCAAAACAATCAATAAATAACTCATATACTGATAACTCATTTACCCTTTTTTAATTACAATAAAATAATTGAAATGATCCCTGAAGACAAACTGCCTGCTAATTTTCACATTGAGTCATTAATTAATGCCAATTTCCACCCGGTATAATTCAATTGAGTGGATCAAATGACGCTCCATGATTTATAATTCCACTTTTCCATTTGAAATGAACTAGATACTCAACAGAAGAGGCTGATACCCGGCGCCTTTAAACTCAAATGTCTCGGAGAAATTACGACCACGAGGTATCTGCACTCATGCGCAGTCACGAAATTGCAGAATTGTTGTGCGTCGACCTTTACCCGCCAACCTCACTCGTGTGTTTTCTTCCCCACCGTCTGTTTGATCTCCCTCTCCATCTCGACCCGTTGGCTACAACGCCGTCGCCAACCCTGACCTGATTTATGGGATTCTGGAAGCGTCTACTCTAGAGGCAAGGTTCACGCGCTATACGTTGCACCGCGTTTTGCCGTTTCCGCTGGCTAGTCTTTCTCATTCTTGCCCTCTCCAACCCTCCCCC